GGTAAAGTTTTACAGAGGTTCATTTGCACATTTTGATTGCTTTTAAATTACTTTTGACCCAACTCATTTATCACATTTAAATAGGATAATCGTGTTCCATAGAAAATGCAAAGAGAAAGAAAATATATTCCATTCATTGTTATTAACAGCATGAAGTGCATTAAACATTACATTAAGGCAAGGTTTCCCAAACTGGGGTTTGTGAAGGAACTGTAGGTTGTTTGTGAATTTAATGAAAAGCGAATAATTTGTTGATAAAATGTTGAAAAAACACTTTTTAAAATTTAAATGACTTTTGTATATCCAGTGGTCAAATGCCGTGTGGCTTCTCAATTTTCTGTTATAAGTATAGCCACAAAACTGACTGGTCTTTGTGTGAATGTCCACAAACTTGGAAGACTTAGGCTATTTTAGAAAGGTAAATTTAAAAGATGAAAAACAATTAGGGCGAATCAATAAATTATGAATAATGTATTGCTATTGTGTGAACATTATATAATTATGTAATCAATAAAAAAGTCTGAAATGTAACATACTTTTGTTACAAGTACTTAATTTTTGGGATCTGATTACATAATCCAGATGACATGTAATCAGTCACTACCCAGCACTGTACCCTAAACAAATGGGACGTGAGCCAAACTAAAAAATGTTATTCAAATAAATTTTTCCCAACAAAGGTTTCTGTCATTTTACATAGTTTTATCACGCTGAGGTATGTTCAAGTGTTTGTTTTTCTAATAAGTTTAGGTTTAGTTAGATATTTGATGCTATAAAAGCAGGATGTAGCGTGATGATTGTGTGCCTGTTGTTGGGTCCACGCGAGTTTGGGTGGGACATGTATAACGCTGCTCCACTTCAAGATACTCAGGTTGCAAATGACTTCATCAGTGCAAGATGGCAGCAACCATCTCGGGCCATTTTGCCTTCACTTTTCTCCAGTGGAAGGAAGTGCAGCTGTGTCATCCATCTTTTTTTAGTCTATGTTTCTAACATACACAATTTAATTGTGGTGCTTCTTTGCAAATGTTTTCCAAAATACACATTCATCTCTGCACTAATAAAATGTGCAACAATTTACATTTTACTAACAAATTATATGTAATATACAGAATTCTGGCATGAAACTCTTGATGGCGCAGTCCGATAGGTCTAACTCAATCTGACCTAATGACATCATTATCACATGGCACAGCTGATTGGTTCTCTCCTGTATCGGCAGCCAATGAGCTCGCTGCTCAACATTCAAAGATATGAGTAGTGCTTGCCGTAGCAGTTGCAGCTTGCTTCAGAAACCCTCCACCTTCCCCAGCTCCACCTGTATAGATCTGCTACGAGGTGATTCATGTATGCTATATGGGGGTTATTTCATGTATGTTATATTTGCTGCAGCAATATTTCTTACATGCTCACAGCAGCATGTTGTGGATGTATTGGCAGTAGCAAGTCTCGGTACTTGCTCTGCCACAGCAGTGTAGCAGATGAGGCAGGGCACATGAGTTGATGATGAATGATGAACATGAAGATCCTCACAGTCTGTCTTGATTGCCAAACACAGACAAGCGGAGCAATACAAGCAGTAAAAAGTCTCTTGTGCTGTTGAGCTGTTATATACAGTCATGGAATGCTGCTCAACCAATCAGATTAATTTACAGGAACTAACTGTGAAAATTCAGACATTTATACTGTTATTTAACAACATTTCAGTTGTTCAACCAGTCTCTCCAAAAGACAAAAACTCCATAAAACAGTTGTGAAAATGTGGTCTATGACCTATATACAGTGCTCAGTATCGGGCCCGATACCGATACCAGTATCGGTATTGGTGCATCCCTAGTGCAAACCAATGACTGTAAGTCTATCCCTCACAGCCTTGTTTTTAATCAACATTAAATTCAATATGGAGTCTACCCTGACTAGGTCTATATTCAAAAATATGTGCTGTTTTAAATGTTTTAAACTGAGACGTGAGCTTTGAAAGACAAATTACAGTTGCTCTGTGATTGGATTAGGAGACTGCCCGGCTCGTTTGGTAATGAAGGTAAATTAACTAAGTCACTGTGCAGGCCCCTGGTTTCACACAAGGTTTAATAAGTTACCAGTTCAAGGTCTGTGAGTGTAAATACACTGGCTTATGCATTTCTTTCCATTTCAAATCCTGTTCTTTTTGTGCAGTCAAAAGTAACTAAAACCAAAGCAATGCTGACACAGTTAAAGAGAAATGTCATTGTGCAGTGACAGGTTTTGCAATGGTGGCAGCACAGTGGTAATACTGCACACCACGACAGGCTTTTCTTCTGCTTGACAAAATGTGCTACCCATGTTGTCATTTTAAACATGAGAATTTAAAATATTGATCAACTCAAGCAGGTCAGATTTACAGAACAACTGTTGGATAAATCAGGATCTAATCTATTTTTGTGTCAGCTAATATTATGCTGTTCTGCCATAACGTTTTAAAGCAGGCTATGACATCAGCTTAGTGTGCACACTGAGATGCAACACTTCATAAAAACACCACAATTGCTACAGCTGACAGGACATGACTGGAACTTAAGAAATGCCTTGCACAACAGCTCTGAACTCTTTTTTTGCACATACAGTAAAACGGATGTGCATGCTGTTTTATTTGTTACAGATTACTTACAGATAACTGAATTAAATTATGCATACTGTATAATTATGCAATGCGATATGTATGCTGATTAAAGGAATATTTTGGATTCAATATAAGTTAAGCTCAGCTGACAGCATTTGTGGCATACTGTAATGTTGATTACCAAAAATGATTTCTTTATCCCTCATTTTCATAAAAAAATAGCAAAAGTCAAGGTTATAGTGAGGAACATACAATGGAAGTGAAGTTCAATCAAATTAAGCACATTTCATCGGGCCCTATCTGAGGTAGACTTTCTGATGTGACTTGCAGACTAAAGCTGTGTCCCAATTCAGAGGCTGCATCCTTCAAACGCTGCATTCCAAGACCGAATGCATCACAGTGGCACGACAAAGGCTGTCCCAATTTGTGTCCTTCATTTCCTGGGCCACGAAGGATACAACACATGGATCCTTCGCAGCCGCACACACATATGCCAATTATTGCCCGCCTGTGACAACAGGATTTATTGATTGATTTGATTTATTTATTGTTATTTTTTAAGAGAGAGATTTAGATTTTAGTTTGTACTGTTTATTATGTACATAAATGTACTATGGTTTAGACAGGCTGTGAACCCTGTTTTGTTTCCAGACAATTGAATATCCATTTCTTTCTTTCTTTCTTTCTTTCTTGTTGTTTTTTTTTTTTTAATTGTGACAATGAGATAAGACAAGAAAGAAGATGAAAGAGAAAAAAAATGTGACACAAGATTCTACACAAGAAATCCTCCCTAGGCTGGACGTCCCGTTTAACAATGCTCAGTTCGACCTTTGCAGCCTTCAAAGTGTGCGTCCTTCTAAGGATGCAGCCCCTGAATTGGAACACAGCTTAAGTGTGGTCTGGTGAGACACACTACCTGTAGGTTCTTAATAAATTAAATTCACTAAATTAACATGTCGACCTGACAGCCTTACAAATGAAACATTTAAAGGGTCGTGAAACCCCCTGTTTCAGCACTGGTTAGTTCTCACTAGGGATGCACCGATACCGATACTGGTATCGGCCCGATACTGAGCTTCTGTACTCGTACTCGTACTTAAAAATATCGGTATCGGTACTCGGTATCGGCAAGTACCAAAAATAAAAGTATCGGTATCGGGCAAGTACTGGAAAAAGTGGTATTGGTGCATCCCTAGTTCTCACCATAAAAAAAACGCTAAAAAAGTGGGCATGGTGCGCTGCGGAGTGGGGGGGGGGAGAGGGGAGAAAGACAACACACACAGCTTCCGGTTCAGAATTTCATTTAGCTCCCATCGAGTTAAAAACACCAATAAATGCACAGCCATTTGGACATATATATGAACGTGCTGTTGCACCTCTGAGAACTTTAGGCTTATTCTGCGGCGTTTATATAAGTCTTTTGACGGGTTGTGTCACGGAGCTGTAAAAACGGTTACACTCACTAAGTGAATGAATCGCGTTTGTACCGAACTCTTATTACAAAGCAAAAACAAACACTCTCCTTCGATCCATGAATGTTTATCTCAGTTAATGTACGCGGTCTGGCAGTCTGAAGCGTCTGTCATAGCAAATCAACACATACTGTTCTGAATAATTAAGCGAAGCATCTTCTCATAGAATAAGAACACTCAGTCTCATGAATAATTTAATAGACACCGACGCATCATCGATGTACTATAGTCCATTGCCACGTCACAAATTTTAACATCGACACAATGTAGATTTTAAACCCGGAAGATAAAAATAGCGCAAAAAAGCTTAAAATTAACCAGTGTTCTCCAACAGTTAGAACTATCGAATGCTAACATTGTCTTCTATGGTGTGCAACACAAACATCTCTGCTAAAATCTCAGAAAAAGTAGTCTGGGGGATTAATGACCCTTTAAAGCTGCAGAAAACTGGGAGAAAATAATATTAAATTGCACAGCTAGAGCTTTCTGATTTGGCACTGTGGCAACATGCATGTTTTGAAATATAATATTACTCTTTAACATAATTAAAAAGTAACACTAATTTAGGTAAACTGACAAATACCTAAAGAATAATTTATGAAGAAGGGAAAAAAGCTGTTTCGTGATATGATTTTTCATATTAGTTTTCATTTTTAATTTTAAATGTTTATTGTGAAATGTTTCTAGATGTTTATTTGTTTCTGCTCAGTAGTTCTCCATTACAACATAAAAAAAATAAAAACGCCTTTAAAAGTTTTCTCTCTTTGGATGGGATCGCACGGTCCCATGAAAGAAGCCACTGTGCGGGGCATGGATGGACCATTGCTACGGTGCCCATCCCGATCCCCCCTCGAGTCACCCCTGACACATTATTCAGTGGGGCGGGACAGAGAAACTGCCTCAGAAACTGAGAATGTTGACAGAGCTCGTGCAGTGCAACAGCATCTCTGCATCTGACACCACAAGCCGGACTGCTTTTCAAAGAGGAGCCCGTCACATTATACTTTCACCATGGGGAAAGTTGAAGGCGGGATGAAATGTGTGAAATATCTCCTCTTCCTGTTCAACTTTATATTCTGGGTAAGTAATGCAGTAGTGTTGTATTTACATGCCACCATGTGTGGTATTTTAGTATATTGCGCAATGTGGAGTTAGTTTTGCATGCACTTTGCCAGTCATATATTCGTTCTGTGTTTTAGTGTGTTTACGCGCTTCATGCAGGAATTTAAAGCTTCGGAGGGAGGCTGAGAGTCGCTGCTCGTACGACTCAAATCAGATTTTCCACTGGGGAAGATCCGCCCCTTTTTCCTTCAGCGTGTGTTTGTTTGGAGGGCAGCAGCCGGACACTGGCTCACTGTAGTCCTGCGTGTTTTTGATTCACTAATCACCCCACTGACTGAATCTTTTGAACCCGAGAAGATTTGTTCAAATCCGTTCACTGATTAGTTCAGTAACTCCGTCTGCAGGTTATGTCGTTACGCCAGTAGGTGGCGCTGTGAGCTTGCCTTTATTTATTACGAATGAAGCATTGAATGATTCACTCATCGGCCGAAACGATTCTCATGAACCGACTCGTTCAGTGAATGGTCGATTCGTTCCTTAAGCACAACCATAATTCTCCTTTACAGACGTATCTTGAAATGATATTTCGTGAAAACAGACAGTCAGGACTGGGAGAACCAGGAGAGACTTTAGTGAATTAATGAGAGCGATTCGTTCATTTTAAGATTTATTAAAACACTGATTCATTCATGAATGAAACAGCACTAGTTCTCCTTATATGGGCATTAACTATGGTACAGGAACCACATTTTAATGAAGGGCTGGTTATTTTTCATTGAGCTGATTTACCATAAACTTATTGAACAGCAAGCAGTCTATCCTGATCTTTCTCAGAGGAACATGACAGTTCATGGTCAAAGTTTTCTGGAGTGAATATACATATGTTTATATATATATATATATATATATATATATATATTAACTCCTGAATTTAATCGTGCACTGATTATAATAATTACTATTCAAATAAAATATTAGAAAAAATCGGATGTTAATAAAAAAAGATGAATCAGTTAAGGGAGTATTTGAATTTTTTGGTGGTATTTTTCTTCAAGTCTTTCTTACCATGGCTCCTGCAGTCATGGTAAACCTGGATATACCGAGGAACATTAAAATAGTCATTTACAGGCAGGAAAAATCATTAAAAATAATAACATCTTAAAAAGTCATCACAGTATTGTAAATATAAATTTGTATAAGCTCAACTCTCTATTAAGTATATAAATAAATAATAAGGCATATAAAACCTTATCCAGTAATCATGAACAACCAGGAAAGTCAAGGAAATTCTTTGGGCAAAAAAGTTTGAGAGATCTGTCTTTGGGTGTATCATACTGACTTGGACTTTGGAGCTGTTAACATTAATTCATGTGAATGTGGTTTCTGCATCTAAGCATTGTGCAGAAACGCCTAAATTCCTATTAAACAAGTCTGAACTTTCGGATTGTTTTCTGTATCAACAATAACAGAAATCTCGTAAAGTTTTAATAGTATTGTATATTACATTACCATATACTCTGCATTTTTTCCCCCACAATTTCAGACATTTTAGCGTCAGTTTTTGCCAAAGTGCCCAACAAGTGGCATTTTCCTTTAGCTAGACCTTCAGTTTGTCACACACACACACACATGTAGTTGTCTAAATGAAGACATACTATACATGCAGTGTTTTTAAAGAAAACAAAATGTCTCCAAAGGGAGGTTTTGTCATATTTAGCTACCGGTAACTACAGGGGGCAAAGTTGTCATACTCACAAACTTATATTCAGTGTTGGGGAAAGTTACTTTTAAAAGTAATGTATTATCTTGTAAATTAAAAAGTAATGCGTTACTTTACTAGTTACTTGAAAAAAGTAATCTGATTACGTAACTTGCGTTACTTGTAATGCGTTACCCCCAACACTGCTTATATTTGTGTGTTCATTCAAATCAAAAATGCATGCAGAGAATCTGCTACAGTTGCCAAAATGTGAAGTGTACAGTGGAGCTTATTTAATTATGCACTTGCCAAAAGTTAAAACATTTAGACCAAAAAAACACAAATAAACATGCATTAATAGTGCAGTTTGCACAATACATACTGTATAGTTTTCACATAAATCAGTAAGCATCCATTACTTGCATACTTGTTTGTGTAATTTAGCCATTTCTGAGTGAAAATTGTTTCAAAGTAAATCCTGCACCATTTTTTTTCCCCAAAAAAAGTTTTCAAGTATTTCATTCCAAACATTCATTTATCTGAGCTTATCCAAACACTTATCCCAAACGTGCATACCTTAGTCAAAGGAAGCTCCTGTGTTACGCAGTGTAACTTTTTCCACTTCCACACCTGCAATGTGCATCAGTGTTGGGGGTGTTTTGAAAGAGACTTTGTGAAACAAATAGCCATAGTGCAGCTTCCAGTCCCTGTTGCTCCTGTGAGGCTTTGGTGGCACTGCAAGTCACAGGCTTTAGGCCATCCAGATGAGCTTCATCTCCATTCGTATTACATTAAATATCTCAGCACTGGACTACTGTGAATAAAAGCTTCAGTGGACGGACCAGACCTGTGGCTCTTAGGGAAATGTGGTTAAATAGAATTGAAGAATAGAAGTATGAGAGTGTTTAAGAGGTCGACGGGGAAATAGGATAGAAGAGGGATAGAGATTGTGAGAGAGAGCTAAAGAGAGACCGTTGGGATGATCCTGACCAGTGTGAACGCAAGAGGGTTGTTAGTAAAATTACACAAAACGCACAATTTATTGGTCAAAACCGTCTCAGTTTTAGTGATACAACAGTTATTTGTTTTATCAAACAGAAGGACTGAAAATGTTCATGGCCGACTTTAATCCTCTTAAAATTTTGTTTTAAGAAGATCTTGGATTATCAATCATGGATTAACAATCTCTTCTTCTCCTCAAAATGTAGGTGAAATGTTCTTACCAGTAAATGAAAGGATGAATTCGTGAAAAAAGTGAGTATATATGAGCAGAGAAATCTCTGCATGGGAGCTCTGTTTTGTTCAGTTTGACACAAAAACCTAAATAGTCTCGGAACTGTTTTTTTCCAGCGTAAAACCTCTCCCTCGCAACCTGGCAGCTCAGCAGTGGAAAATGGGCACAGTTAGGACTAGACTGAATAGCACAGAGGGAGGAAATTGTACAGGATAAAGATCACTGACCTGTTTAGAGCCACATTAATCTCGTAGATATTATCATTCATGTTGTCTGACTGACAGCGTTTAGCATGCAATGGCTGTTTGTTTACACTAGCTTGTTCTCTCGTCATAAGCCTTCAGAAATAATCCAGTGACGATCCAGTGATTATCAATATTATTAAAAGAATGTTCCGGGTACAGTATAAATTAAGATATATCAACAGTTTATGTGATATAATATATATATTCTGTGAAAATCATATACACTCATCCCACAGTCATGAATGCTTAAATACTTAAAATATTTCTTTAACACAGCAAAAAAAATAAAATAAAATAAAAAAAATAAATATATATATATATATATATATATATAGTTCTTTTTTTTTAACAATGAGAATGTAAGTTTTAAATAAGTCAAAAATAAATAAGTTTTAATAATTTTAGCTTCTGTAGTAAATGTATGTATTTTTTAAATTATGTTTTACTGGAAACCAGACAAAACATGCTTTTATTTTATTTATTTATTTATCTTTGTGTGTGTGTGTGTGTGTGTGTGTGTGTGTGTGTGTGTGTGTGTGTGAGAAGATGGGTGTTTCTTCAAGTGCAGGCACTTTTATACACAAGATTTGATTTAATCTTTTCTTTTTCATTATATAATGGCCTCATTACAGCTGTCTTGGTACTACATCATGCATTTTTGTTAGTTTTTTTGTTGGTTTTATTGACCCAGACTTTCAATTTTAAACAATAAAAATTTCAAATTCATTTTTACAAATATTAAATATCTAAACAAAAAAGAAGTGTGCTTAATTGTAGTGAACTTCAAACTTAAAAAAGCTGTAAGTGCAGATAATATAATATTAAAAGGCCATAAATAAAAGGCCACTTAAGTGACTTAAACAGAGTTCACTTTAAGACTGTTTCTTAACTTTTAAGACTTAAAAAAGTGCACTTTGTAATGTCAGATCATTAAAAGGCAAAGAAGTCTGTCATTTCATTATGTCATTTTTTTTTTATTCTGGAATTTCTGCCAGAGAACAAATGTTGATTTGACATGAGGTGGAAATGACAGAATTCTCCCAAGATGCATGCATGTCCACGGCTAAACTTTGTTAGTGGACAAATTAAATGCAAGTTTGATAAGTGTTTTTTAAGGGGGTTTACTTTTTAAAAGTCCACAGAGTCAGAAGTTCCCATAATTGGTGAAATGAGTGGAAAATGGAGAGGTTTTGCTGAATCAGACTTCAGCCTGTGCTAATGTAAGGCCACAAATACACAAAGAAGGAACAGCAGGTGGTCGGGGAGAGCATTGTGTGTGTGTGTGTGTGTGTGTGTGTGTGTGTGCGTGTGCGTGTGCGTGTGCGTGTGCGTTTGTCCCACCACACCCCCGATCATCAGACAATAGAACACACTCCCTTTCCTCTCACACACTCTCTCTCAATACTAGAATCATTATAGTGAATGAATGTCATAATAACAAGGGTGCTGTTTCGGAAAATGATCAGTTGTTACCCCAAATATTTCTTCCTGAACAGACATTTAAAAATCTATTTAGTTACGTAATGTCAAGTTGTAGTAGTCACGTTGATCAAGTCATATTTAATAATAGTTTCGAATAAAAACAGTGTTACCAAATAAAGGACTTTTTAATACCTTAGTGTGAAGAACATTTTAATCATCTAAAGAACTTGTTTTCACTATAATGAATCTTTTGTGTAATGGAAAGATTCCATGGATGTTAAAGGTTCTTCAAGGAACCATCAGTGCCAGTAAAGCCGCTTTATTTGGTTCTCAGCTACTCTTACCAGTGTAGCGTGTGGTTTAGTGCACTACATGAGAACTGTTGATGGAGACTTCCCTGTGCTGACTGGATTCTGTTTTCCACCAGGAGATCTAATCAGCTTTTCCTGGGTTTGGGTTGACCAATTCTTTCATTCTTTTTTCCTGTCTTTCTGTTTTTCTCGTTTCATAACGACTCAGTTTGAAATGTTCCACCTTCTTTTCCAGCATTATACAGTAATTGGTGTTTTGGTGTTTGCCAGTTCTTCATTAGAGAACGTACACATATGATCTCATGATCTCGAGTTTAGATTATGTTCAGATGGTCACTTGGGGCATGAAACATCAAAGCAAAGTCGGGTAGTTTAATCATGGTCTGTTTCTTCTTTGTTACAAATGAAAATCTGTTTGTTGCTGAAATTATGGAACTTGCATAAAAATGTGCTCAGAAATAGTCTAAGGACACCATAAAACTCCCAATAAACTTGAAAAAGCCAATTTGTTTTCCATACTGTATGTAAAATAACAAAAGAAAGCCAAAGGCGAACCAACAGGCAATTTTAAGAGTGGAAACTGGCCTAAAGCTGACTCACATTAGTATTCTGGCGTAAAAGGCAAATTTGCTTATTTAAAATGTTTTTATAGTATTTTAATTGTCTGTCTTATTCTTTTATTTATTATTCTTACAATTATCCATGCATTATTATGGTCTTTAAATTTAAAGCAAAATATTTGAGAATTGTTTACAATTATTTATAATTACTTTATTTATATATATATATTTTTAAATGTAATACAATTTTTATTCAGCAAGGACACACTGTAAAATAAATTCTGTAAAATTTACGGTAAAAAAACGGCAGTTGTGACAGACAACCCTAATATACAAAACTGACAAGAAAAAACTAAGAATAAACATAGTTATTTAAACAAAAAAACATCAAATTTGAAATGTAACAGCAGGGAATTCTGGGAATGTCAATTTATTATTCACTGTAAATAACTGTATTATTATTATAATACACACTGATCAAAAGTGACATTTATAATGTTACAAAAGATTTACATTTCAAATAAATGCTGTTCTTTTGAACTCTATATTCATCAAAGAATCCTGAACAAAAATGTATCATGGTTTCTAAATAAAATATGAAGCAGTGCAACTGTTATAATAATAAGACAACTGTGATAATACTCTGAAATGTTTCTCGAACAGCTAATCAGCATATTAGAATGATTTCTGAAGGATCGTGTGACACTGAAGGCTGGCGCAATGATGCTGAATATTCAGCTTTGCAGCACAAGAATAAATTGTATTTTACAATGTAGGGTATTCAATTACAAAACAGTTATTTTAAATTGTAATAATAATAATAATAATATATTTGATATTTGATCAAAAATACAGTAAAAACACTAATATTGTGGAATATTATTACAATTTAAACTAACTTTTCTATGTGATTATATTGTAAAATGTAATTTTTCACTGTGACGCAAAGCTGTATTTTCAGCATCATTACTCCAGTCTTCAGTGTCACATGATCTTCAGAAATCATTCTAATATACATTAGGTAAACATCTAATATACACTTATACATTATATACAATATGCATTTATCTTATAATGAACAGGTTTTTCAGTCACACGCACAGACACACTGTATAGTGGAGTGTGTCACAGACAGACAGTTGGTCTTTTGTCCCAGAGATAACCCCTGATGCCGGAGGAGATCTCTGGAGGGGGAGGGGAGGGGGACACAGGGCCGGATGATGTTACACTGCCGAGTGTTTGAGGGGTTTGCTGTCCCGCGGGGGGTTGTGTTATATGACAGCTGTAGCAGACAGGAGAGGCTGAGGAAAGTGCCGTCTTGTCTTGCATCATCCTCGTGGATTTCGTTTTAAACACATATGTAATATGATTTTTCACCGCCTTAGATGGTCTTTGCCCTTCTGACCTGAGAAATCTCAGAGGTGTTGATTTTACACAAAAGCCCATTTTAACATGCTTTAGCCTCTCCAAATTGGAAAAATTGCCCTGAGTGGTGGCAGGAGTCCAAAAGTGTAAAACTGGGAAGGGCATTTTAAATAGAATCAAATGATACTCAAAAGATGGGCTTTTGAATGCGCTTTGACAGATGAGTGTCTGCTTTCCTTGTCTGCAGTAATTAGAGTTCATTTAAGAGTGCTGGTGGATGAATTCCTTTCATGGTTTGGCCTTCAGCCGTCATTTCTTAGATTTAAGACCACAAGGATCCTGCCAGAGTGGAAAATATCTGTGCCACCTCTCCATAACTGCAGAAAAAAATTAAGACAAAGAGTACAGAATTCTTCAGGCCTGAGATAAAGGTCTGACAATGTGTTCATATTCATTTTTGTAAAATGAATTCATCTTGAGGAATTGAACTTGAGCTGATGTCATTCAGCACATATCGACATGTAATGTGTTGTTTAGGCATTTATCTGATAATGATTCTGCAAAAATATCTTCTTTTGATCTAAAATAACATCCTCTGAAGATCTTCCGGTGTTGTTTTTGCAGTTGATGGGCTCGCTGGTTCTGGCTGTGGGGCTCTGGCTGAGACTAGATCCAAAAACCGTGTCTCTTTTAGAAGGAGGACCTGAGACCTTCTTTATCGGTAAGCAATTAATTGATCATATTTCATGGTTATTTCTCCAATGCCTATATACAGTGGGGCCGAAGAAGTATCTGAGACTACATTGAAATTATGTGATTTAGAGCCTAAAGTAGGAACATTTTAAAAATAAGCAAGGTTTTAGATTTTAGAAACATTATGACACAAAATGAATACAATTATAATATGTAAATATGAATTAAAAATAATTATAATTAAGAATTATAAAATAACATTAATTGTATTATTTAACATTTAAATAGTAATTTAAATTATAATTACTAAATATAAAATCATTTTAATTATATTATATTATATATAATGTCAAATTATACATAGTTAGATAGATAGATAGATAGAATTATAGAATTATAGAATTATATTATATTATATTATATTATATTATATATTACGGAAGAGGATAAGGGCCAAGCAATAATAAAAAAAATAAAACCGTCTCGAGATTAAAGTCATTATAATGCGAGATTAAAATCGTTAAATTTCAAGAAAAATTTCGAAATAAAATGTTAAGAATTAAATCATTAAATTTCGAGAATAAAGGCGTTGTGTTTAAAGAAAAAAAATCGTAAAATTTCGAGAAAAAGGTAGAAATTAAATGTTGAGAATAAACTCAATAAATTCCGAGAAAAAACTTGTTGTGTTTCGAGAAAAAAACTCGTTACATTTTGAGAAAAAATGTCTAAATAAAATGTTGGAAAAAAAAGTTGTTGTGTTTTGAGAAAACCTGGCTATTACTTTAGGGTTGTTGATGGTTGTGTACACCTCTATCCATATAATGAAACAACTGTAACCATCTGTACAGCCATTAATGGCAATGCAGTATGGTTTTAGTTTAGGGCAGCAGCTATTTGCACTAGGTGAAAATAGCAATAGATACTGTTTACACTATAAGTGCAAATAGCCATAGATGCTATTTACACTAAGTGAAAATAGTGATATATTCTATTTACACTAAGTGACAACAAT